TCGAAATCCCTCACTATGGCACCGCTTTCAGACGTGCTAACCTGCAGACGTTAGACCGACTTCCTTTCGGACACGCATACAACAGTTCGAACATTGATTTCGATTATGTCCACCATATGCTCCACAACAGGGTAATGTAGGGACAGTGATTTGGGTATGAATTAGTTTTAAGGGATTGTAGACTTGCGCTGCATCTACCGCACTCTTTCTTCCTTCATCCACCTGAGATTAGTATAAAGACAAAGCAAAGAAGGGCGGAGGCGAAATCGGACGTAGGTGGTTGGCGCAAGAGAAGTCACCCCTAGGCCTGCCGCCCCACCTGACTAGGATCCCAACTGAGTTGGAGTATCATAAAGGCCACAGTAAGACGGAACCATTGCAGCATGACTCTCCGTCCCCCATGCAGCCACGCCGAACAACACAACGCACACTAGGCTGACCAAGCAGTCCAAGTTTCCTGTCAGTTGGCGGCCAACTAAGCCACAGCTTTCTGCGCAAGTAACTAGCTTCAGGTGCATCCGATTGCTGATTGTGAAGACATTGCGCTAAGCCGTCGACCTCACTGTCCTCCCTCCACCACCTCCAGCATCAGACGTCGTCCAAGCCAGCCAGGTTTCTTTTGTGGACTGACAGGGCCGAGGAACCCGTCTGCACGCAGCAGAGAATAATCTGACCGCTTGACACACAACCGAATTCACATAATCAGGAGATCGGGAGGAGTCGGCGCCTTCGGACTCCCAGTCCACTTATTAGCCACTTTACATACAACGCACATCATTTTGATGATGGGTTCGGTACATGCTTTAGTTGGCAGTGCCGAAAGAGAAAAAGCTGGTTGTGAGTGGTGTAAGACTAGTTGCGTAACAGTTGAAGAAGAGAGAAAGGGAGAGAGAGAAGTGAGGGAAAACGAGAACACGCTTTACCATTCAGTTGAGGTTTTTTGGGAATGCAAAACGTTTCGATGGAGGAACTTGTGTCGGTGCAAAAAGCTGCGATTACGACTCTGGCTAATACTGCCAGTATTATTAACACCAATAAGATTAATAGTACTACGAAGGTCAACAGGTGGCAAATAACAAGACTGGTGTAGGTAAAGAGCTATGCCTAAGTTACCGCTGTTAGCAATAATATTCTTATACTAGTGATGCTAATACTTGTTACCATACTTAGCAATGCCAGTACGTAAAACCTCGTAATACACAAACGCTAGTAGGGGTGATTAGCAGGCAAATTCAACGAAACAGTGTCCACCTTACCTAAGGGGACCCTTAGCTTGGGGTCACATGCGTGCTTGAAGACGGATCCTTATCCCGAAAGTGGCGTTACGATCATGGGTCCAACCCTGCATCGGGTAAGTCAGTGGCTGTTTGTCTACCTGTGTAGGGGGCTTTCAGTAGGTGTATTGATAAGAAGAAGATGTGATCGCTGGGACAGGACCCCCTCCAGTAGTTTTATTGACAGTGTCTTGTATCTGACGCTGATTATTTTGGACGATACTGTGGGTGATGAGAATGCTACTGAGGAGTGCACAATAATTTAGTGCCGCCAACGGCATTTTACCGCAGGTTTCCGTGGGTGCTAACGTGGCTTAATAGACACACGCAATGGGTGAATGTGCGTGGACGGTGCCGGCAGTCCCGCGATTGTATTTCGGGGCCGTAAGCTTTGTCTCGCCAGTCTATGTGCGATGGATTCACAAGTGTCCGACCGGACAGATGCGTGAGGTTAATTTCCAATTGCAGTTAGGACAGTACATACCGGTTGGTGTGTGGGTTGCAGAGCCGGTGTTGGTGGTAGTCACGCTGGTTGAATGGGTGGGGTTGAAGCTGGTGATGGATGTGCAGGATGTGCTGGTTGTGTCGAAGTCGCGGTGATTGCCACTGTCGTGTATGCATATGTGACCTAGTAGATCCATGCAATGAGGGAACTCGCGAGGACAGTCCGGGCAATCAAGGCGGCGGTCCTTGCTATGTGTTAGTGCTCCAGGCACTGGGTCACCAGTCTCTGTAGGATGGATTCGCAAGTGACCGGCCAGGTCAGTGCGTGAGGTGTATGTGTGATTGCAGCGGATTAGAATTTAGCCCCAGTGCTAGTAAATGGGTTAGATGTGGTTATTAAGTTGATGGCAGGAAGCGACGCGTCGGAGGGGGTGAAGAAAGTGAGGGGGCGGGTTTCCGTGGTGCCCGCTGTTGTGGACACTGAGGGAGACGCAGTAAGGAGGATGTTGTCGACGAGTGAGGGCAGCAAGCATAGGGTTATTAGGCATCCGTTGTGAGGGTGGTCGTATATGCATTACTGGACGTACGAGGGAATGTTGAAGTCATGGATGCCGTCGGACGGATAATGCACTGCGTGCGGAGATGGCCGACGAATCCGATACATGCACGGAGGGTGCGTTGACAGCGCGGATAGATTGGAAGCGCTTGGGTTATGACAGCGGGCGTCCGTTGGGTTTGGTAATTGCGAGCCGTCCTCTTTGCATTGGTGGCATCGATTTGACTGGACTCGTAGATGACGGCGCCAGTTTTTACCGTTCCCCGCCAAGCACGTCGGTCCTGCGCGGGTTCTTTCTAGGTCACCGTGTTGATTTAAAGACACCTCATGGAGTTCATCAGGATATTTTTGTAGCGCCTCTTTTGTTCCCCTTTACTCGGTTGGCGTAAATGGTTCTAATCTCGGCTTGGTACAGGATTGTCGTGAGGATGACGGCCTTGTAAATCTTCAGTTTTATGGACATCTGCAGTCCCTGATTTCATAGGGGGGCTCGAATCTGGCCGAAAACTGGGCTGGCTTTGGAAATCCGGCAAGCAACCTCGTCGTCTATTCTGAGTAGAAGGATACTGTGCTGCCAAGATAGGCAGATAGTCTCAGGCTGTTCTACTTTTACCTATGATCAAAGATTCCCGAGGGAATCCGAAACGTCAGAATAATAAAACTCTTGTTTCAGTGATCGCTTCTTCTTCTTCTGATGGGCGAAGTTGTTCACGTTTCTAGGCTCGGCGTCGTTGACGTTGATACATGGAGCATTGTAGTTAGCAGCGGGCGGTGGTTGATTCACGACCGGAGTGTGTGCAACCAGCGACGAAGATTTGCGTTCTCCTTTCGCATCTCCACTTCCATTGTGGTGTTGAGAGCGCAGCCTTCCGCGAACAGGTCGACATTAAACAGTGGTTGTTAGAGGCTTGCGTGGGGGCCTGCATATGTCGGATGTTGAGGAGGTGCTAGTCCGTCCTATAGATGACGCGGTTCCCGGGACGCTCGTCACGATAAAGATCCATCAGCATGGCAGAGAACATTAAATTTAAGGGCATTGGCGCAAAGAAACAGCCCTGTTTCAGTCCATTGGTCACTGCGAAGGCTTTGGATGCCGTTCTTCTATCCGTGATGCTTGCCGTCATTTCGCCGCCGAGATGACGTACCATGGGGGTGAAGTGCTCAGGACAGCCGAATTTCTGCGACTCACAGTGCTGAATTGTTTTGCTTAGTCCATAAACGTAGTGTAGTGCTGGGTTTGCATTTCCTGGCACTTCATCTAATATTTTCTTGCGATAGAGATACGTTTTCTGGCAGGAATCTTTGTTTCAAGTAGTTATTTGGACGGTTTGGTACAAGACGAGCGAAGATTTTACCGGTAATATTGAGCAGTGAAATTCCGTGTTGATTGTAAAATAGCTTGCGGTTCCCTTTTCTCTCATAGAGGCGGAAAATTGTGGGGTCCTTGAAATACTGGGGTGCTTGGCTTTGTCGGCAAATTTCCCGGAAGTGAATGTGTAGTTGGGATACAAATTGGTGGCCGCCGTATTGGTAACTCTACGCAGGGATCGCATCGGATACGGATGCTTTCCCGCTAGAGATTTGCAGCAAAAACTTCATGGTTTCCTGTGCGATACCTTGGATGTCGAGGTCTTCGATGATTTCCACCTGAAGCAAGTGGTCGATAGCGGCATCAGAGATGGTAAATGCACGATACGTATGTTTTCGAAGTGCTCAGACCAGCGTTCCGGTATCTGTGTCTTCTCAGGGAGTAAGATAGTTCCATCACCACTGAGAAGAGGAACTGTGTCTTTGACTAGCTGTTGCAGCGAAAAAGGCCTCCCGTTCATTTCGGTCAACATAACCGTGGATTTTCTCGCCCTTGCGAGCCATTCAAGTGGGCTGCATTTCCTACAGCCGCTGTTGTACAAGATGGCCACTTTGAGAGAAGTTTATTATATTTGCGTCGATAGAGTAGTAAACGTTGGCTTTGTGCAGTCGGTTCTTCTTGACGAGCGGCTTGCTGATAGCTGCATCATTTTCGTCAAACCAGTCCTGGTGTTGGCGACTTGCGCGGCGAAGTACAAGTTGGGCGATCGATTAAACGATGTACCATAGTCGGCATCATTGGTCCTCCACGCAGGCGTTCTCTGTGACTCGAACATTTTTTAGCTGTTGAACCAGCTCTTTGGCAGTATGTAGACAAATTCAACAAAACAATATCCAATTTACCTGGGGTCAGTTAGCTGGTGGTCTCCTGTGACAGAGGGCGGATCTTCATCCTGAAGATAACGAGAAGATGATCTTTACATCAGTTGGCACCGGAACTCACCTTGTCACCAGCAGATCCTGCTGGTCATGCTGTTCCAGCAGATGCCACTGCCTGGATCGCGAGAAGGTTGTGGATATTCGAGGTTGCTATTTTGAAGGAACTCAGCCTAACGACCTGAAATGACCTTTGAAATGGGGGAGAGTGAAGAAGATGGTGGGGGAGAGAAAGAATTTCGTTCTTCTTTTAATTTTTTTGACTGCAGCTTTTGCTGTCTGGCAGTAACGGTCTGCTGACAGCCGTAATGACCCAGAATGGCAGGGATAAGCAATGTTGTCACTAAGTAGGGTTGCTTAGTCCCATGTAACGGCTGCCGGAATCCACTATAGGTCTCATTTACGGGTTTAGTGGAGGAACGACCCTATAACTCAAGCGGCCTACGCGATTACATGTCGCCCTTGGCGCAGAACGTTTTCGATCGTGGGGAAATGGATTGGGGTTGGGTATGAGAGGAGCAGCACATATCACAGTAGCGGTAGTGGCGGTAATGCCGTATTTCCGAAATTTCTTTTACTAGGGCGACTAACAGTATTGCTTTGACTCGTATTTTTACTAGGGTTGCTAAAAATACTAAGTCCGCTTAACTGACAATACTGAGGATTTCAGTGTTATTACGTCCTATGCTGATTATATAAGCCTGTGGGTACCTGCGATAGAAAGACGATGATGACAATGATGTGAAAAGATAATGATACAAAAAACTATACGGATGACACTAGTACAACCACTTATATACTGCAAAAACTGTAAGACAATAAAAAAATTAATATAATGCTACAGGAATAATGTAATACTGGTGACGCTGATAGTAGAAATATAAGCAATAATAAGTTCCAGTTAGAAAAATCTAGTAGTTCAAGGACTAGTAGTGTTAACATTGAAAACAGTACCGCACCCATTAATAATATTGCTAATAGCAATGGGAATAAAAGTAATAAGAAGGAAACAAGTAATCAAGAAGATACTACATGAATGGGGTAATATTAGTGATACTACCGACACTATCGATAGTAAGCTCCAGTTAAAAAATGGTACGAAACTGGTAGTATTAATAGTCACACTACTGTGCCTAATAATGAAATTATTAATAGTAAACGGATAAGTCAGGGTATAGCAATAATTCTACTAGGGCTCTTCTATTACTGGGACCGCTACTGCGGCTCCTAGTGTTGCTGCGATGGTTACGGAAATGAGAAAATTGTTTAGAATATTGTTTCAGTGTCTATGGAATACAGTAAATAGCTATGTACTTTCTAACTACTACTATTACTACTGCTACTCGGGCACACCGAGTGTGAGGGAGGACACACCCCGGAGATTCTCACTTGATTTCGTCCGCCGATCGAAACCGTTACTGAGGCATGGCCTTTAGGCAGGGCCTAACTCCAAGGAGCCACAAGTGATAGCTGCGTGCCAGCTAAGGAGGCTAGATGTAGCCACCAACTGCACGAGAAAGATGTTGCAATCTGCCACGACTTTAAGGCTGAAAACCTTACTGGACACCCTATACCCCCCACCCCCGCACACATACGTGCATCCAGGCAGGCACGGCTGCCCCAACGCCGCTTGAACACACCCTCGGCCAATACAGCATACGCTACGAGACACGACATTCCTCGGGTCAAGT